GTGACCCACAGCACTGCTGCTGCAAATAATGCGTCTTGCCTCTAATCATGAGTTACCTTCGTGAGCATTCGAAGTGGGAAGGAGTAATTTACAGGAACCACGTGGTCCTTTCAGGTTGAATGACGCTAACCTAAGTCATGATTACCAGGTAAATCTTGCCAACTGTATCATCAAATCAGATTGGAATCAATCTATCTGTCTGTTTATCAGATCCATCTACCCAGCTAGCTAGCTAGCTATACACACACATAAATACATATTTATATGAAAATATAAATATATTAAAATGTTATATTAATATAGTTACACACTAGTGATATAAGTATACTAATATAAATACATACAAAAATACATTATATATAAATAGACATATATGTATACTGTGACTATTGTTAAATAGGCTGATTCCATGGGGGAACTTGTCGGGAACCCTCACTTTAAAAAAAAAAAAATGAGTACACATAATCTGCATAGGTTGATAGCGTCTAACCTAAAGAATCCTCAATTTTTGAAGTAATTATACCAAAGAAAGGCAGGTCAATGGTGCCACACTGGCGCAGTGATTAAGAGCTTGGCTGCTAACCAAAAGGTCAGCAGTTCAAATCCACCAGCCGCTCCTTGGAAACCCTATGGGGCAGCTCTACGCTGTCCTAGTCGCTCTGAGTCGGAATCGACTCGACAGCAAAGGGTTAGGTTTACAGCGCCGTGCGCACTGATTATCCAGCAGCTTTAAAAATACTCGTACTTTAGCTGAAAATGTCAAGACCCATCCCGACACCACCTGGTTCACCAAGTGGGATGGCGCCGTGTTGCTCTTCCCTTACTCCTAGCGGTCTACTTTTGTGGGACCATGTGGCGCCTGGGAAGTAGGATCACAGAATATAGCAGAAAGAACAGTACACAGAGCCCTGGACTCTTATCAAAACTCTTCCATTTACCAGCAAAGTCATTCTAGGAACTCAGTGGTATAGAAAACACTGAAATGAGATCATGAAGAAGCAATGTTTGAAAATTATAAAGTATAATGTAAGCATAAGACAGCTCCTTCACTCCCTCAAAAATCCCGTGTTTCCTTTGTAAAATTGTTAAATGTCCTGGGGCGGACAGGGCATGGAGGCAGATATCATAACCCGAAACCAACTGAGCTGCTTTTGTTAGATCAAAGGAGAATTGATTCTTTGGGTTTAAAATAACATTTGTGTGATGGTATTCAAATAGTTCTAGCCTATTGCTACATAGCTATTTCCAAAAGAACTAAATACAACAGAGCTTATTTTAACAAGTTCCCGAACCCACAAAAACAGAGTTTTTCCTTTAATCTCCAATGTTTAAGCCACTGCAGACTATGTCATCCCCGTCTCCAAAGTGAGCTGAACATTCTATAATAATGGTTTACATCAGATGGAACTCTAACCTCACAAACAAGTGGTAGTCTCAGCACCCACCTTCCCTTCCAAACAGGCCCAAACCAAAGATTTGGAGAGACCTTTCTGACCTGGGCCCCTGTAAGGTCCCTGGGTAGCACAAATGGTTTGTGCTCAATGACTGACAGAAAGGTTGGCGCTTCAAATAAACCCAGCAGTGCCGCAGAACAAAGGCCTGGCGATCTGCTTCTCTAAAGATTAGCCAAGAAAAACCCTATGTCAGAGCAGTTCTACCTTGCATCACATGAATCAGAATCAACTTGATGGCAACAAGTTTGGGTTTTGGAGCCCCTGAATTGCAATTTGAACGCACGTCGCAGGCAATGGTGTCTGGGCCAGGTCCCAGTGACCCCAGGAGCTAGGGGGATCTCTCGTCTCCACCTGCCCAGCTCTCAGCCTGCTGAGTGATGTCCTCCTCGTAGAAGCAGGTGGGCACCAGCAGCACCACCACTGCAGGCCCCCCACCTCCTTCCACACTGCGTTATGCGGAGCAGCAGAGAACACTCTTCTGAGTCAGAAAAAACCGAGTTCATGTAAAATGGGTGACATCCTTCTCATTTCCGAGATGTTGCGGTTTGTATTATTCTTTTATTTCAGGGAGAAGGGAACCTTTGTAATTCTGGGTAAATTCTCATGATACTACTGTGTAGGCAAAAATATGAAATACTTGGAGTCTTATTTGTAAACTCACGGCCACAAAGACAAATCTGAACCCCACAGCCCTTCTCACTATTTCTATAGATGGCCCATCTTAGTTGCCCATGGAAGCAGCAGTCAGGGAGTCAAAGGACATATTGCATTGGGAAAATACGCTACAAAAGACCTCTTTAAAGTGTTGAGAAGCAAAGATGTCACTTTGAAGAGTAAGGTGCGCCTGACCCAA